TGAGGGGCTGCATGAAATTATGCAAACATTTTTGGGGGGTCATACATTTTTATTCAACTATTTCAGGTTTGATATAGTGTATAAAGCTATTTAGTTTACATTTTCATAGCAAATTTACAAAATAGAACCTCGGAAGTGAATCCGAGAATACTATGGAAAACACAGGTATTCGGACCCAAGCAAGGGGAGAGGGGAAATATGTTGCATATGGCCATGGCACGAGTGGAGGGGGCGGTGTTGATATGATGTATCGAAAAATAATTTGCTTGTAAGTTTGTATGATAAGCTTATGSGTAGATAGAAGCGAAAGTGTATGGATGTTAAACTTAGTGCCCTATCTTGGACCTATCGTCAGGGGTGAAGATGCAAGAATATGGGAAAGAAATCGACGTGTTTCAAGATCTCAGGCGCAGGTTGGGTCTGAGTTGGGGGTGGGACATGTTATTTTATTCTCTCATTCTTGCTAAGGCCACGTTACTATATGCATTTGAAAGAACAGGGCCACAAGATAATATGCCATGGGAAATGAAAATGCAACAGCCCACCCCCGCATCAATAGTGTTAGGAAGTTCAGCGGTACATAACAAAKATTAGGTGTTAAATAAGCTCCAGCATACCAGCACATTGGGCAACCCAGTGCACGCTCCAACAGYATACCCCAAAATAATCACATGAAAAATCCACCAACAGCACTCCTCCCCTTTTTTACAAAATCCTAAACGCATATGTGTTATTGGGCTCCCTGTGGTACTTCCATCTCACTTTGGCGATTGCCTAAATGTCAGTTCGATTGGTTCTTTCGCAAAYCCCTTGTGATTTCGGTCGATTTTCCTACACAAAAATATTTTTTTCTGATCAACTGATACGTCAGGTAGGTCAGACATGATGTATTGCGTTGTTTAGTGGATATTCAGCGCTGTTTGTAGGAATAAAGTGCAAGGATAACTCGAATGATATTAAAATGTAAACGACGCCGCCACGAAAAAAACTCTACGCAACGGAGATACATATGCAAGAAAAGTACAATATAAGAGCACTTTTCTATACAAGTACGCTTCTTTACCTGTTCTAGTTAGCTTGTCAAACAATTAAATAGTGCAGTGTGCTGGAGAATTTTGATAAAGTGATGCGATTACCGATGATTTAGTAGTTTACCAAACTGAAGAATGTTGAACATACTTGAGGCAAAAGCATCCTAGGCCAGTTTTTATTGATTAGAGAAAAAATTCCATTCAAGTTTTGTAGTCTGGCTTAATACTAGGGATGAAATCAGCTYTTACTAGACTGACAAGGCTTGACACACGAAGCCATCTTGTTTTTTTCCACAGGAAGCCCAAAATACATAATGCACTAAATCCCGTGAGGTCTGCCTCAATTAAGATTATGATGAACTTGGAAGGTTGAAGTGAAAATAAAATAAAATAAAATAAAATAAAATAAAATAAAAAAAAATAAAATAAAATATTAAGAGAAAAAAAAAGAAGAATAGGAGGGGGTGGGGGGATTGTTTACTAGTGCTGTTGTATATAGCCTGCGTCACATCCGGAATTTTCTTAAATTCCGGATGTTACGCAGGCTAGTTGTATAAAGCTATGAACAAAGAGAATGGAGCAAGAAAGCCTCTGTAACCCAAGATATTGCTGCTTCAGCCAGCACCATGGGTTATAATTGATGGATTTGGATGATTACCAAATTAGAACAGAGGAATTAGAGGTGTGTGCTGCCAGAAGTTCATATAGTTATGAACTTCTGGTGCTGCTAATACATCACCTTTCACCAATGACACCTGGGTTTGATGGGGCTTAGATCACATACCGGTGAAAAGTCATATGAATGTTCGTACTGTGATATAGCATTTACTACGAAAGCGAAATTGATAATCCATCTACGAACACATACCAGTGAAAAGCCTTATAAGTGTTCACATTGTGATAAAGCATTTACACGAAAAGATGATCTCGATGGTCATCTTCGAAAACACACCGGTGAAAAACCACATGAATGTTCGTATTGTGTTAAAGCATTTACTACGAAAACAATATTGAAAATCCATCTACGAACAAATACTGGTGAAAAGCCATATGAATGTTCGTATTGTGCTAAAGCATTTATTACAAAAACGAATTTGAAAGTCCATCTACAAAGACATACCGGCGAAAAACCCAGTGGCGGATCCAGGGGGGAGGGGGGTTCGAAGGGTTCCACGGAACCCCCCTTGAAGGTTTGATCTTTTAGGTAATAGAAATATGTCTTATGTAAATTTTGCTTAAAAGTATCCACAAGGATAATGTCGAACACGAAATGATAAATATTTGCTGTTATAATGTTTAATTTACCTTTAAGGTCCGTTACTAGATAGTAAATTAGGTGATTAGAGCCAATTTTTTTGTCAAACATCGTAACAAAAGATCAGAATTATACACAGTTTAAGAAACGGAACCCCCCTTTGAAAAATCCTGGATCCGCCACTGAAGCCATATGAATGTTCGTATTGTGGTAAAGCATTTATTACGAAAACGAATTTGAAAGTCCATCTACAAAGACATACCGGCGAAAAACCCAGTGGCGGATCCAGGGGGGAGGGGGGTTCGAAGGGTTCCACGGAACCCCCCTTGAAGGTTTGATCTTTTAGGTAATAGAAATATGTCTTATGTAAATTTTGCTTAAAAGTATCCACAAGGATAATGTCGAACACGAAATTATAAATATTTGCTGTCATAATGTTTAATTTAGCTTTAAGTTCCGTTACTAGATAGTAAATTAGGTGATTAGAGCCAATTTTTTTGACATCGACTATAACAAAAGATCAGAATTATACACAGTTTAAGAAACGGAACCCCCCTTTGAAAAATCCTGGATCCGCCACTGAAGCCATATGAATGTTCGTATTGTGGTAAAGCATTTATTACGAAAACGAATTTGAAAGTCCATCTACAAACACATACCGGTGAAAAGCCATATAAATATTCGTATTGAGTAAAGCATGTGCAAAGAAAACGAATATGAATATCACATGAGTACCATAATTACCAAGATGATAGAAAGTGTACAAACTAAGCACGAAAGTAATACCAATACTTATGCCTGCTCTTACTGCAGTAAAACATGATCATGTGATTTGCCGCTATGAGAGCAGATTTCGTATTCAGTGCGAGAGGTCACGGTTACGGTGCGGAATTTGGAATGTCACGGCAAGGCGCAGCTCAAACTGGTCATTAGTTCAGCATTTAAATAGTCCAGCTAGTGTTGTTTGGCGATAGCTGAACTTTTTGTTGAGTGGAAATTTCATTTCGCGTCCGTCCTATCCAATCGGGCCGGGCGTTGTCTATCTCGGTTAACTATTTCGGTTATCATAGACAGCCTGTACCCAAAATATGTAATAGCACGTTTGCACGATGTCATCATTTGACTCACACTACCAAGATGCTTCGCGAAATTTCTTTCTYATTTAAATTTGTATTCCCTCATGAGAATAGTAAGACAATTGGTGCTAATTAACTGAACAAAAGAAAGTGTGCAAGGGAGTCTGGTAGTAGAGGTCAATGACGCCATCGTGCAAGCGTCCTATTATATATACACCAACTTGCAAGAACGTTGTCATACGAAAATAGAACATTAGTGATTTAGTGAGATAGGAATTATATTAAAAAACAAAAGAAGATCACTGAAGCTGAACTTTTTCTTTTGTCTTTTAATGTATTCCTTTCTCACTAAATTACTAATGTTCTATTCTTGTATGTCAACGTTCTTGCAAGTAGGTGTATATACTTAATCTAAAATTGTAATTAGGATACATGTCATTGAAATTGATTGAAATTTCGTGTATTTTCTGATTAATGTGTTCAGCGGGTTTGCTGGAATGTGTTCTGGCGGGAAATGTAGTATATTTGCTGATAGTGTTCTGGTTGGCRTGCAATTTTACTGTATTCCAATAAATCGCGTTCAGCGGGTTTGTTGGCATGTGGTCCAGCGTCACTAGAGCGTTTCTGTCCTTCCGCCTACTGGGTTCATCGTGTTTTTCTGGTGGGAATATGTTTGGAGCTTCACTGTTTATTCTTCTCGCGATCGATGAGCGACTATAATTATCTAACCCAAAAATAAAGTAGTATTTGCAGGTTATTGGAGTTTCTTCACGAGCCGAGTTTTTCAAAGTTTGATAAGGCTTGCTAACCTGCGTTATCGCGCATGGTTTCAATTTCTGGTGTAWGGTTTGGTGGCGTCCTTTGATGGTTAACCTTCCTGCGGGCTATCTAAACAGCCCTTTTATAGTGCTCGACTCCTGCAGTTGTTGCCGGGATCTGTTAACCACCATTGGTCCCTCCAGTCMTATCGTAGGCGACAGCCAGTGACAAAAGTGCTGTGTGCAATGTATAAATGAATGAAGAAGAAAGAAAGAAAGAAAGAAAAAAACAATTGAGGGGCCAATGGTGGTTTGCGTTAATCCCAAGCTTGATTGTCGCGTACCTTTTAGAAAAACAATAGAGTAAAAGAGCGCATTGATCATGGTTTACTGATCCTCAGTTTTTCGGAAGAGTTTCGCCTTTATGTCGTCAACATTTCAGATTTCATTCGACGAATTCCGAGCTTACTAACTCACCCGTACTAAGTCGATTTTAGCTACCCTCAACAGAACAGTGTTAGTCAATTTGTTTATAAGATGCAGTATTCGAGTTAATCTTACTAGATCACTGGAATCATGCATGAGTGTTATTTCCCTGCGAAAAAGATACAAAATGCCGTATTAGAGTATGTCTTAGAGGCCAGACCAAGGTACATCCTTATTTCAATAAAGTTAGTCACCAAAAACCTAGAAAGCTGAGATYACTGAGGATCATGGGAAACAATTCATATCGAACAAGTAAAGCTTTTTTGATACAAACTGCAGCTTGAGGATGCTCAGTAGAAGTGAGACTGCAATTGGTAAAAGATGTGAAAGTCCATCAACAGTTATCAAGCGGTTGAAACATGTAAAATATATCTACCCATAATCCTTGTCCGCCTCATCTTTGTATCTTTTCAGGTGACTAGCTTTATTGAAATAAGTATACAGTCAATTCAAAAAATGTTGTCGTCGACCAACTTAAGCCTACGCGACTGGACCGAAAGGAACTCTGGGTAGTAATCATTGAAGCCGAGTTGACTCCATAATTTTATCTGACTAGTTATGCGTGGTTTACAGCACGAACCTTCGTAGGCGAGCGGGAAGTGTTGAAGGAGACGTTTTTTTAATGCCTTCATATTTTGGAAATTGTGAACTGAATCATAACTACTTTTTTTTTTTTATTCTTTCCCTAAACCCGAAGACATGCATTTATTGGATTGTTTCTCGCCATTATTATCTTATTACTAGCGGGAACAATTAATTCAGAACGAATATTTAATCGCTTCAGTGAGTTTTACCCATATTCCCTTCGGTCCAGCCGCGTAGGCTTGAGCTGGTCGACGACAACGTTTTTTGAATTGACTGTATGCAACTATACTTTTGTAATGCTACCATAAGTGAAATGAAAAACCTGAATGTCGTGCCAATGTCGGCCTTTGTTAGGTTTGAGGGCTAAGGTTTGGGCAACGATTTGGGAGCTTCTGTTATGATCACAATTTTGTTTATTATTCATACCGAGATTTCAATTTGGTTCGAGTTTTAAAAACGGTAAAAAAACAGTAAACGGTTTACAAAGTCTCTCAAAATCATGTGCGGCCTCAACCGGAGCCACATTACAACAGCCGACCACAATGACTTTGGAGCTAAACAATACCCTGCAATACAATAACCCTTACCCAAAATAAAATGTGGAGCAACAATTGAACAAGTACCGCTTCCACTACAAGAATAGGACCCTAGACTAGGTCAGGTTACCTCGGCCTCACTTTCAGTGCCATTGGTAACTTTACAACCGCAAAACAAGAACTGTGGACCGCATAGCACTTATGAAATACATGAAGATATAGAACTTATCTATCTCAATACAGTCTTGCTTTTCTTCACAGGCGAGGGCGTAAACTTAATAAACCATCAATCAATGTCTTTCTCTGACGAAGCCTGTTGTACTAGTAAGTTATATTGCCAATTAAATTTGACTTTCTATAAACTAATTGACAGCTTTAATCAARTTTCTATGCATTACAGGAAATGATTTAAAAAAACAAAGGAAACAACCAAGTCAAAGAAGCCCACAAACTTTACGAAGATTTGATCAAGGAGAAGATATTCAATGATGACGTATGTGCTGCAAGTGTTCTTACAAAGATAAAAGAAAGTGTTAAACAGAAGGCGAATGAAATAAGAGAGAGAAGCCGTACCGCGGCTTTGTGGCTACAGTACATGGAGATGGTGGACATTTTAAGGACATTTATCAAGGCCGAGAGAACAGCTAATTGGGAACTCCACCTACATGCAGTATCACAGATGTTACCCTATCTCGCAGCATCTGGACATAACCATTACTTAAAGAGCGCGTTGTTGTATCTTCAGTCAATGTCCAAGCTCGAGTCTGAAAATTCTGAGGTATACAAACGGTTTGTTGAAGGTTATGGGCTGGTCTATCCACAGATCTGGTAATTGAACAAGTACTTATGAGAAGTCTGAAGACCGCCGGGGGATTAACAAGAGGGCGTGGCATGACGGAACAGCAGCGAACAATATGTTTGCTTTCTACTCCCGCATGTGCAGAAACTAGCCAAGCAATGCAAGAATTAACGGGTGTTTTATACAACTCTGGTGAGCAAAATAAGGACATGACTGACGCAAGACAGCAACGGTATACCAAAGACACGATGACAATACTTTCTCTGTTATCAGATAGAAGTCCATTTATAACAAGCACCACACTTAGAAACATCMTGAATGGTGTCAGTGCAGAACAAAATGTGAACGCAGATTCTGCTAAGGCAATCGGKAAACAGATTATATCAGGAATGAGTGGACAATCTGTATTGGACTACTCATTCAAGCGAAGTGAGCAAGCAAATACCTTCAACTCTTCTTATTCAGTTAGAATCGACAAAGAACAAGTGCAGATTGATCAGCAGCTTCTCTTTCAGCGACTTGTTCTTGCTTGCAACAATGCAGATGACTTTCAATCAGTGTTTCAGTTCGAGCTTTGCRCCTACCCTACCGCTTTATTCGAAGCACCAGGTGTCATGAGGCAAGCAAACAAACCAGCTCTCGCCGATGCACTATGTTYCCAACTGAGTTCTTCCGCCGTCAACCAATCAACCTCACCCTAAGACACTTACTATGTACTGGATGGGGGCGCACTAATCCACAGATGCCCATGACCTCGACCAGGATCAGCAACTTACCAGGATTTATGTGACATGTACTGTAGGTATGTCACGCGACACTACGGCAGGCCAAGCATAGCTTTGATGGTTATGATACTTTGACAACAAAGAGTATGACACAACAGAGACGTGCAGCAAACAAGGTAGGAACTACTGTAAATTTTACAGAAGACATAAAGATTACTATGAAGAAAGAAAACTTCCTGTCAAATTCCCAGAACAAGAAAAGCCTGATARAAATGCTAAGCGGGCGCTTAAGAAGTGAAGGTTGCGTGGTCTTGCAGGCAAACGGAGACGCAGACCTCCTGATCGTCAAAACGGCGGTCGAGTCTTCCGAAATAAGGCATACAACACTAGTTGGAGACGATACAGATCTTCTCGTCTTACTGTGTTACTACACCAATCTGAACAGCTTTGCCCTTCTCTTCAGGCCGGAGCCCAAAGCCAGAGCAAAGCGACGAACGTGGCTAATGAAGGAAGTGAAGACCGAACTTGGAAAGGACGTATGTGATAACATTTTGTTTATCCATGCATTTCTCGGATGCGATACGACCTCCCGCATCTTTGGTATCGGCAAGGGCGCTACTCTTAAGAAATTCGTGAGTAATCCTTACTTTYGTGAGCAAATCAAGGTATTCAATGCTAGCGATTCCTCCGTAGAAGATGTTGTTAAAGCTGGGGAAAATGCTCTCATTTCAATTATGAATGGCAGACGTGAAGAGAACATTAACAAACTGAGATACAGAAGATACTACGAGCAACTGGCCAGCGGAAAGGTCCAAGTCCAGCCACAGAGTTTACCCCCGTCCTCAGCAGCTTTGCGTTATCATAGTCTTAGGGGGTACCTTAATTCAGATCAGGCAATGGAAAGGCGAGGACGGTGATATGGACCCTAATCAGTGGGGATATGGGAGACGACCCAAGACCTGATAAAGCCATTGATGACCAGCCTACCACTTGCTCCAGAATCTCTACTGTCCATCATTCGATGTAACTGTGCATCCGATTGTAGTACCCGAAGATGCACCTGTCGAAAACACAATCTCGACTGTTCTCCTGCTTGTGGCAATGTAAAGGAGTGAGCTGCATAAATTCCCTGGAAGTTGGCGATCAGTGCGATGATAACGAGTAGGAGTAGAGATTTACATAAATTTCATTGAGCATTTTAAAACAAGTCAAGTAAGATACCAGGGCAATCAGCCTGTGTTTTACTTCAAATCAGTAACTGCTGTACATGCATGCCAAGAACCAACTGAATTCTTAACAAATAGCTCGGTCCTGGGCAAACCTAATACCAAGGGGCAACGCTCTATAGGTAAAATACTGATAACATATAACAATATGTAGCAAATTCAGTAAAGTAATTTTATACAGTCAAAAATGGCAAAATATTAGGGTTCTTATAAGTTATTGATCTGTTCAGGAGCATATTTTCGTTATTGCTAAAGATTCCGTTCAATAATAAGGTCATTTACGAGGCAAATGAAGCAACTTCCGGTTACAGCCTCGTTTTCATGTTTCAGGAGAGAGCGACTTTCCTAAGCTAAAAAGAAATTAAATTTGTAATACTTTCCCGTGCTCAAATTTACTGGGGATTTTTTTTGGTTGTTATTAAGATCATTTCCAATTGCATTGCGAGGAAAAACCTTCTGTTGCAATTATTGGCAGGTTAAATCATGAAATGACTGGACTATTAGTTATGTTGTAAAAGTCCAATTGAACATAGAAACTTAGGCCCCGTCCACATGTCCTGAAATTATTTTTTGCGAATACGAAAATGTTTGCGTCCACACGCAGCGTATTYGAATCGTTTTCACCGTCCACACGTATCCGTTTTCGTAAAATTTGCGGATACGGACACAAAMATTTGCGGACACGTGTGGACATCAACCGTATCCGTAAGAAAAAATTTGCGAATATAAAAATTTGCGGAACGTGTGGACGGGACCTTAATAAAGAATTTTCATATTTTCTTTGCCACCTTTGTTTCGCTCCGGTATGTGACCGTGGATTGGAACCAACGCTCGACTTGCATGAAATAGTCGAAATACAAATATTCAAATGACTTTTCACCGGTGTGTTCGAATATGTTTGTTCATATACGTTTTCTGTGAAAATGCTTTATCGCAATACGAACAGTTAAATGACTTTTCACCGGTATGTGTTCGTAGATGCATATTCATATCCTTTTTCCGTGCAAATGCTTTATCACAATACACACACTCATATGGCTTTTCACCAT